GGGATTTTTGCTACCGGTTCTCTGAACCACCTGCGTCATCGCCACCGGATCGGGTGATCCGGTCTGAACCAGGAGCATTTCACCCCTGCTCTGGAGGCTCCGGAGTCCGCACATCACTCCCAGATGGCCCTGGCCTTATCTCTGCCTCTGACGCAGAGCCCTCATCTGGGCCTTCCCCTGACTCCAGGACTGGCCCATTGTCCTCCCCAGCCTCCTCACTGTCCGACTCCGCTGCCAGATCCGCAGGCTGCTGGTGGACCACAACACTCTGAGCTTGTGGGTTGGATTCCGAATGTTTCATTACCAGGCTAGGTAACATGTTCAGCAGAGTTTAGTTAACTGCCCTTAACTCACTTCACAAATTTCTCATCTAGCAACATAAATTTTGGGTTGAATTGTGGTCATAAGCAGAGGACTACCTGTATGTGTATACAGTATGTGTATTATGTATAGGTATATATATATATACACTTTATTTTGATAGCAGACAGATAGACCAATAAATCATAGGAACATCTGTAGGATTACTACTTTCAGGACTCAAAGTAGAGACTGCACAAGCAGTCAAAGATATGAATTTGGTATGTGGGTTTGAGGAAGCAGATAGAGAATGCATGATAGATATTTCTTGCAATTCACAATAGGCTTCTTTGCTCCTTGAGAAGTCCCTGTGGGATCTTCCCACTTAGTCTGGAATATATACTGTACATTATTATGCTTCAAAACAGTAACTAGGTTCCTATTGCTTATAAGAGGTGGCTTCCATGATCATTGCTCAGAAAAGATACAGAAGAAGGAGGCAGCAAAACTGCATTGAGGATACATCCGTGAGCCAAGAAGACAAGGCATTTCTTCCAAAGCACTGAGAATGGAGAAAATTATGCTTCCCAAACATTGAATTAAGGGGTAATGTTTTAACAGATGCATTTGCTTTGCCTCCCATTTATAAGCAAAATCAGCACAATTTCACAATCTAGAAAAAAGGCTGTGACTAACAGAAAAATATAAGATAATAGCACAGAGAGATCATGAAAATTTTCTAAATATGTTATATCTATGGAGATTCTCAGTCATCCAAGTCATCGTTGTCCCAAAAGTGCCTTTTCAAGAGGGGAAAGAAAAAACAATATCACCTTTGGGACATCCTGAATATGTTTTATGTATATTGTTAACTGGTAAAAATACTGCCTGGCAAAAATAAATTTAAGGTTGCCAGGTGTCCATTATTTGAGCAGACAGTCTGCTTTTTTCACATTATGTTCACTATTTTTTTTTTCACAAAATAGTGGACATTTTTTTTATTCAAAAGCTTTATGATTGTATATTTTTTAATATTTCTCAATGTTGTACTGAAATTAAAGAATTATTCCTTAAACACAAAGAATTGATCAAAGCTGCGCAGTCAAATAAAAAATACACACGACAGCAAAGTAAAATGCAATTTAATATTTTGCATATTATTATAATATATTTGATGTTTTGAATTTTAAGTAAAGTTTTGAAGTGATTATTTTAATACGTGTTAAAATGTTTGTAAGAAAATATATAATTTAATTGTAAATTTTTTTATTTTTTTACTACTTACCCCCCCCCCCACCCGCTTGTCCACAATTTTTTGGAAGCAGACCTGGCAACCCTAAATAAATTAGGGAATAAAAGTTTGATAGATATTGTTGTTTTGCCTCTGATTTGCATGAAACATACCCTAATAATCTAGAATATTGATTTTACCAGTATGAACCTGAGGATGAATACTGCACAGATCTTGAAAAAATTGTGATTAATTCTTAGTGCAGTTTGCAAGGAGTGAGTATTTTTACAATTTTTAAAAATGTTTAGTTCTCGAGAGTGGTTAGCTGTAATATTGCTCTCTGAAACTAGGAAATGGTTTGCAGAGTTCAAAAGAGGTAGATTAAATCAGATAATTTCTAATGTATAATGTGTGAGGCTGGTTTAGAAGCAAACATAAATTAAACCCAGTTCATAGAACAAAGAATGTTGGTGGTGAACCTATGGCATGCGTGCCATAGGTGGTTGTAGCCATATCAGTCGGCACGCGAACTCAGTTCCGGCGTGCATCTGCGCACTGGCCAGCTGATTTTCGGGCCTTCTGGGCCCACCAGAAGTAGGGAAACAGGTTGTTTCCTGCCTCCGGAGGGCCTCGGGGGGTGGGGAAGGCAGTTTTCGCCCTCCCCAGACTCCTAGAAAGGCTCTGAAGCCAAGTGAGAGAGAAAAACAGGCCTTATCGGACATTAATACAATTGAGCGAGTCCAGAGGTATTTCACGAGAAAAGTACTCCACTCCTCTGCTCACAACAGAATACCTTATGCCACCAGGATTGAAATTTTGGGCTTGGACAACCTAGAACTATGCCGCCTATGATCTGACCTAAGCATAGTACATAAAATTATCTGCTACAATGTCCTACCTGTCAATGACTACTTCAGCTTCAACCGCAATAATACATGAGCACACATTAGATACAAACTCAAGGTAAACCGTTCCAAACTCGATTGCAGAAAATACGACTTCAGCAACAGAGTTGTCAGTGCCTGGAATGCACTACCTGACGCTATGGTTACATCCCAAAACCCCCATAACTTTAACCTTAGACTGTCTACTGTTGACCTCACCCCATTCCAAAGAGGTCTGTAAGGAGTGTGCATAAGCGCACCAGCGTGCCTACCGTCTCTGTCCTACTGCCCCCATTTATTTGTATCCATTTCCTGTATTCATAGCCACATTTATACTTATTCTTGTTATCTTGTACATGTTTGACAAACTAACTACTTAAATAAATACATACAGTACATAAATGAAGGCATGCTATTTTTATTACTGGGTGGAATGGAGAAAGTATATATGTATCTTTGAGGATCCATTTGCTTATTCTGGGGAGGGGGTTGGAACTGAAGCAAGGTTAAGCTCTTTTGGTCTTCCCATAATAGATCCTTTGGAAAACATCAAGCCAAACATAACACAATAGTTAAAAATGGGTATGCACGGGATTATTTTATGAGATCCTGCCATGTTAGTAGGTGCTTAAGATAGTTTCCATGGAATCTCTCTTCATTCCAATGATAACCTTTGCAAGATTAGGGGACTGGAGGCTAAAACATATGAAGAATGGTTGCAAGAACTGGGTATGTCTAGTCTAATGAAAAGAAGGACTACGGGAGACATGATAGCAGTCTTCCAATATCTGAGGGGCTGCCACAAAGAAGAGAGAGTCAAGCTACTCTCCAAAGCACTTGAGGGTAGAACAAGAAGCAATGGGTGGAAACTAATCAAGGAGAGAAGCAACTTAGAACTAAGGAGAAATTTCCTGACAGTTAGAACAATTAATCAGTGGAACAACTTGCCTCCAGAAGTTGTAAATGCTCCAACACTGGAATTTTTTAAGAAGATGTTGGATAACCAGTTGTCTGAAGTGGTGTAGGGTTTCCTGCCTGGGCAGAGAGTTGGACTAGAAGACCTCCAATGTCCGTTCCAACTCTGTTATTCTATTCTAAGGTGAAGGAGAGCAAAACGAAGGAGGAGACATAGCCCATGTCTGATAATGTTCCCATGGTTGAGGATGGACCTGAAGTTGAGTCTTCAGACTCTAGATACAAACTTAACTTCTACATCAGCAAAATAGATATTCAATGAGTTCATTTTCAGCGCATGGTCAAAATAAGATGCATCAGAAGTCCCATCAAATGTCTTATTCACTCACCATGCTAAAGGGTGGAACTCCCCCTTTAGATCCCAGACCAACTGGCAGAGCCAAATCTATAGATTTTTTATTAATTGAGCAGCATCTACAATGATAACAAAAGATAAGAAATGTTCTTCAAAGTCCTTTTTTTCTTTCTCTCGGTCTCTCTGACTTTTCTCTTAGTCCATCAACTTTATCACCTGAAGGATTGAAGTATGGAATCTACGCATGGTTGTCAGTCTGATTTTCTACACATAGCTCCATTCATTCTTATGTGTCTCAAAGAGTTCCAGAACTGGAGAACGTCACTTCCCTGATTATAAGATGCTCATCTCCGTTCACAGTCTAACAGAAAAGTCCTGCAACCCCCCCTCCCAATTTCCAGCAGCACTAAGTGAAGATCCAAAGAAAAAGATGGCCTCCAAGACTGTGAATAGAGATGAGCATCTTCTAATCAGGGAAGTGACCTCCTCCAGTTCTGGAACTCTTTGAGACACAGGAGAATGAATGGAGCTATGTGTAGAAAATCAGACTGACAACCATGCGTAGATTCCATACTTCAGTCCTTCGGGTGATAAAGTTGATGGACTAACAGCACTTAGTGCTGTTGGAAATTGGGAGGGGGGTTGCATGGAGTTGGTAGAGATACAGTAGTGGGCAAAATTGTGGAAACCTTTTGGGAAAAGTATATTTTCTAAAACTAGCTAATAACACCACTTTTTTGGGGGGGACTAATGTCATAAAAGTACATATCAATGGAAAGATAATTTAATCAAGAATGTCATGCAGTAATTTTTATGAAGGATTTGCTATTAGAATAGCAGTTACAGTAGAAAGAAGAAAAGTGAAACATGTAGAAAAGAAACAAGACACACAAAAATGATCACCATAGAAAAAAGGAGATAAACAAAAATGGTCACCCTGTCAGTTAATACTTAGTTGGGTAACCTTTAGCATGAATTATGGCCTTACAACGTCTTCCCCATGGAGTGAACCAAGTCTTTTAGTTCTGCAGTTGTTATCATGTGAAACCAAGAGGGAATGATGGCTTCAATTAACTGGGTTTTATTGCTGAGTCGCTTCTGACTAACAAGTTTCTTTACTTGGCTCCATAGATTTTTCAATTGGGTTAAGGTCTGGGCTATTCCCAGGCCATTCCAGCAGTGGAATAGGATTATCTTGAAACTCCCCCCCCCAAAAAAAGTGGTTCAATCAAACCTTAAGAATACACTTTTCCCAAAAGGTTTCCACAATTTTGGCCAGTACTGTATTTAGCCATAACAACGTTCTTTCCTCTGAGAGTCAAGGACGTTCAGCCTGCACCTGGACAGGTCATTTCCCCGATTAGACGATGCTCATCTCCATCCACAAGCAACCTTCAAAGCTGTTTTTATTTCCATCCACAAGCATCCTTCAAGGCTGTTTTCCTCTCCATCCACAAGCATCCTTCAAAGCTATTCTCGTCTCCATCCACAAGCATCCTTCAACGCTGTTTTCACCTGCCTGTTCCTCAGGCTGTAAATGAAGGGGTTGAGCAAAGGGGAGACCACGTTGTTCAGGACACCTACCGTCTTGCTGAGGTCCACCCCCCCGCTTTGCATGGGCTTGACGTACATGAAAATGCAGCTCCCGTAGGTGATGAAAACCACCACAATGTGAGATGCACAAGTGGAGAAAGCCTTTTGCCTGCCCTCCTCGGAATGGATGTGCAGGACAGCCGCAACGATTTTAATGTAGGAAACGATTGTGACAGCCAGAGACCCCAGCACCATAAAGGTGGACATGAGAAAATCCATCAGTTCCAGAAATTGGGTGTCGGTGCAGGCCAGCTTGATCAGTGGTATGTTGTCACAGAAGAAGTGATTGATGACATTTGGACCACAGAAGGGCAGACGAAATAACAGAATCAGGGGCATTATGATATAAAGGAAACTGATCAGCCAAGAGCCCACTACTAACCGCGTACACAACTGATTGTTCATAATAACCGTGTACCGTAGGGGATTGCAGATGGCTACGTAGCGGTCGAAGGACATGGTGGCCAGAATGAAGAACTCAGCGGTGCCCAAAATAAAATAGAAAAAGGCCTGCGTGAAGCAGCCCGCCAGAGAAATGGTGCTGTTGCCTGAGGCCAAGTTTAGCAAAGCCTTCGGGATGGTAGAAGAGATAAATCCTATTTCCAAGACAGAAAAATTCCGGAGGAAAAAATACATGGGGGTATGGAGGCGATGGTCAACCAGAGTGATGTAGATGATGAGAAGGTTTCCCATGATGGTCAGAAGATACGTGAGAAAGAGGACCCAAAAGAGAAGGATCTGAAGCCAACGGATATGGGTGAAGCCTACAAGAATGAACTCGGTTACTGAAACTGTCTGGTTCAATATTTCTGCCATTCCATTATGAGTTATTTCTGGATCAAAGTCTTTAGAAGAATAGGAAAAGGTCTGATGCGTCCAACCTTTCCCTCAAAAACATTAAAAAAAATAATAATTCCTTTTAAAGTTGTCGTGATCGACAAGATGAAAAAAAAACCCAGAATAATTGGGAGAACTGTTAAATTTACATTCTAGAAAACTCTAGTAAGAAAGTCTACAACTATCAGTGGAGGAAAGAGTTATTGGAGAAACAAAGTAAATAGTACCGCAGATCAAAGTGGGAAGGAGAGGTATCTTTTCCGAACCCTTTCCCCTTTTTCTAGGAAACCTCCCATTTTTCTAAATTGAAAAATGCATGCCCATGTCTTTAAAGGTTTTCTTGTATGTTCCTTCTGTTGCAATTCCCATCTTAATTAAAGACGTTGACTTGTTAATTTGTTTACCAGCAACACTGGTTCTTCGGGGAACTCATTCTGTGAACAAAAGTTCATTCGATTCTTCTAAAACTTGAATCGATCTTCTCAAACAGTTAGGGGCCAGCGCTTCAAGGTAGACCAAACTTGGTAACCAAAAATATCAAGCTGATTGGCCAACCCAACGATAAAGAATGGTGATTCTTTGTAGCTGAATTCTTTATTGGTTCACATCTATAGATAAAATCTTGCCAGAACACTACTATATGAACCTACAATGTACCATGGAGGAGCTGTTTTCAACCTCTTTCATATGTAATACCAGGATTGAGTTGTCTCTTGCTGTTCTGGAATGTCACCCCTCCCTCCTGAGAATCAACTACCTTACTGCATTCCATCATACTAATAATCTTTTGATTATAAGACGTCAGTAACAGAATATATATATCTATACTTATATCTGTTATCTAATACATCCTTGACGAAATAATTAAATGAATAAATGATGAAGAAAAACACAAAACTCATGGCTCATAAATTTTGGGGTGTGTGGGAAAAGAAGGGCCAGAATAAGTAGGGAGATCCTAAAGAAATGTAATAGCAGAGCCCAAGAAAGGAAAAATATTTGTGATTCTTATGGGTGGGAATATCAATATCAAAAGGAGAGGAACCCTGTCAGATGTTAATCCAATACTGATATGCTTTATCTGGTTGGCAGATGGAAAGTAGATAGATTGACACAACACAATGCCAACTTTTCCCCATATCCTTGCTTCTCTTTTGGTGTCTTAGAACCTCCTAAATTATTGTGTCACCTGAACCCAAAGCAGTTGTTTAGACTTCACATGTATTGAGTTTGAGGTGCTTGAAGTCAAGGAGGCTATCTCTATGCATTTGATTTCATCTCCCATATACACAAAAGCATACATAGGCACCAACATAAGACCTCCTTGCACCAAATTGCTTGAAATGGATGACAAAGTCCTTTTGGCTCACTGAAGGTAGACTTTCATATGGAAAATATTAAGGAGGGATTTCCATGCAGTTGTAAAACAATATGGCCAATAAAGAAAGAAAAAAAAAAAACTAGAACAGAACAGAACAGAACAGAAAAGAATGAATCTGAAATGACTTGATAGCAAGCAATTAATTAAGACAATGTTTCTCAACCTTGACAACTGTAAGATGTGTGGACTTAAACCCAGGGGTGAAATCCAGCAGATTCTGACAGGTTCTGGAGGACCGGTAGTGGAAATTTTGAGTAGTTCAGAGAACCGGCAAATACCACCTCTGGCTGACCCCAGAGTGGGGTGGGAATGGGGATTTTGCAGTATCCTTCCCCTGGAGTGGGGTGGGAATGGGGATTTTGCAGTATCCTTCCCCTGCCATGCCCACCAAGCCACACTACACCCACCAAGCCACGCCCACAGAACCGGTAGTTAAAAAAAATTGGATTTCACCACTGCTTCAACCCTCAGAGTCAGTCAACCTGCTTCCTCAGGAATTCTGGGAGTTGAAGTCCACATATCTTAGTTGTTACATTTGAGGAACACTGAATCAAGAAATAGACTTAGGGGTAGGAAAGTCTGAATTACTTAAGTCCACCTAAGATAAAGTCTACCTAAGAGAAAAATCTGCCGTAAGTTCTCTTCCATTCCAGACAGAATAAGAGATGTATATAGTAGGATGGCACAGGTTAGAGAGAGAAGCTTCTTGGATGAGAAGTCTTCAAAGAAAAAACAGAAAGTCCAGTTGCCTCTTGAAAAAGCACCTTTGGGACAACCATGACCTAGATGACTGAGAAGCTCCATAGACAGTTAGAAACAGAAGATACAAAAAGATGAACTGAGGGCAGAAGGAAATGGTAGGAACGTCAGTGTAACCAGCTGGAGGCATATTATACAGCAGAATGCAACTTTAATCAGGGGTCCTTGGTGCTTTCTGGGCTTGGTTATCTTCTTGTAGATGTTTCATTCTCCAAACTAGTTAACATCATTAGTGATACATCTGATGATGTTAACTAGTTTGGATAATGAAACATCTTCAAGAAAACAACTAAGCTCAGAGAGCACCAAGGACCCCTCAACCTGCGCTACAAATATTCTCATTTATTGTCAAATTTCATCTTCTAGACAATAAGCGTGCAGGGGACTTATCAAATGTCCTCCCCTCCTTTCCTCACAAGACACCTAGGGAAAACAGAGAAAATAGATTTCTTTGTATCAGCTCCCACTTGGAAGTATGAGCAGGTCCCACAATATTGCAATTCTGCAAACAATTCAATGATGCATTGTTTTGGTGCAACTGCACCTCTAGCTGATTGAACGAGGGGGGTTACCTTGGGTATTTAGTTGAGTTGAGCGCTTACATTAATTTTGACTTAGAGTTTATAGTTTGATCTTCTTGTGATGGGATATTGTACGCTATCCAAAGTCCCTTGGGATTAGAGTAGGTTGCAAATACTGTAAAGTAACTAATTTACTCACTAACTCTGTTATTCATAGAGGTCAATGGATTTATAAGTTTGGAAAGCTGGTGAATGCAAAGCTGGATTCTAGCATGCCTTGATAAAATGCATTCAAAGCAAAAAAAAAATTGTTTTCAAAATAAAAACTGGAAACTCTTCCTGTTCAAGTGTCTCATCTTGTTATTCCATCTTTGAGCACCAGAGATCTTGTTACTCAAATGGTTTTTATGATCGCACCACTGAATTCACATTGCGACCAAGAATATGAATTTGTTACCTATTTTTTTTTTATAAGTTTCCATGTCCCAAAATGAGTAGATAATGAAAATATGTTCATGTACAGTCTGGATTTAATGAGGACCCGAAGGACTTAATTAACTTGACGCTGTTAGCTACAATTGTATGGATCATTTTTTTGTTAACGAATTGCTCTTTTTCCTCTTTTAATTTATAGAAGGCGGTATAATTGATCTAAGTCAGGAGTCTGCAACCTTAAATACTCAAAGAGCCATTTGGACCCGTTATCCACAGAAAAGAAAACACCGGGAGCCACAAAACCCCTCCTGTGCCTGACTATTTCTTGAGCAGCCACAAAAGAATATTAAATGTTCTTTTTTCTTCTGAAACTTTTCTTTTCTTGGATTTATTTGCATATTTTAAGTGACAGGGATCTGCAGCAGGGGTGGGTTCTAAATTTTTTTTACTACCGGTTCTGTGGGCGTGGCTTATTTTGTGGGTGTGGCTTGGAGGTCATGTGACTAGGTGGGCGTGGCTAGCTGGTCAGAGTCATTTCTGGAAGGTCCTCGCACTTACGATCAAGTCCTCGCACTTACGACCCGACTCATTTGTTTGCTTTTAACACTGATCAGCTGTAGGACGGCCCTTTGAAGCCCCATGGCAAGAGTTTAAACAGTTTTTTTCCCTCTAGTCATCAGATGGGACTCAGGAGGCAGCAATAGATTGGGGGTGGGGGCAAATAAAAGGTAAGAATAACGTGGGTGGGGGGGTGGGAGGCCGGGGGGGGAAACCGGTTTGGTGACATCATATCGTCACCGCTACCGGCTCGGCCGAACCAGACCGAATTGGGAGGAACCCACCACTGATCTGCAGTAGAGAGGTGAAAGAGCCACATGCGGCTCCAGAGCTGCAGGTTGCTGACTCTTGGTCTAAGTTAACTGGCTGGAGAGTAAACATAAAATTTAAGGGATCTTTTTGTTATGAGATTGAATTGTAAATAGAAATCAAGATAATTTAAATAAAGGTGTAAGTTTAAGGTAGAGATATTTAGAAGTGGAATTTGTGTAAAGAGGTTAAATAGGTTAGAGATACCGATGCAGAAAAGTTGTTATTAGTATTGAAATTTTGATATGTTTGTTTTTGGTTGTTTATATTTTTTGTTTTTTTGTGTGTATGTTTTTTTTTCTTCCTTGCTTTTTTGTGTATTATGTTTCTTTTTGTACTGTGTATTTTAATCTTTGGAAAATTAATAAATATTATTTTTTAAATAATAAAATAACTAAATGTTCCGTTTTCTTCTGAAACTTTTCTTTTCTTGGATTTATCCATGGTTGGCCTACTGGGGGTTGAAAAGCTCAATAAATCATGTGCCGGCGGGTGTCGCACATTGGTGGTTGTGATGCATATTTTGAGTGACAGGGAGCCACAGCAGAAGGTGAAAGAGCCACATGTGGCTCCAGAGCCGCAGGTTGCTGACCCCTGATCTAAGTTAATTTTTTGCATAGTAGACCTAAATTATGTCTTTTTGTTTCACTTTGGAATATGTACAGGGCTTTTGTTGTTATTGCTGTTGCTGTATTTCACTAAATAAAAAAAAACAACAACCTATAATTAAATTTTTAGAAACCATTGCATTCTGGCTACTTCAAACTTATGACTTTGGCTCTAAATAGAATATCAACTCTATGTAATAAGGCTGAGAGAAAGATAGAATGGAAGAGGGTAAAGAAAATGAAATGGAAAAGAGGACTGTAGTATTTTGGAGTGCCCATGCTAAGATCAACTTTTCAACACAATGATGTCCTTCCCTCAAGGTCGCAATCTACAGTAGTGGAGCCAACCATGTGTCAACCAAGTACATGTGTGTCAACCATGGAGTTGACACACATTTGTATGTGGTGAATATATCGAGTTCGAGCATAGGATGAGGGTGGAGATTAATTCTCTCTGTTGTGACCAACGCCCAAGTAGTGATTACCAAACACAATTCAGTCCTCAATAAACTTATTTTATTAAAACAGCTGAGAATTGATTCATTCTCATCTTAGTCCAAAACAAAATTCTTAATAACCAGTCTATCGGCCTTATCACCAACCTTTGATGTCTTTGGCAACCTGCCAAAGGCTTTTCTTGGCAAACCCCCCACAAAGTTCAAGAGACGCTGACAAGAAGCATGGGAATCAACGTTGCTTTTCTACAAAGAACCCAACAGCTCGTTGCTGTTATTTTAAGCTTTCTGGGAGAAGCCAATCATCTTCTTGCCTTACTCCCAAGTTGTCCTTTTTTCTTCAGCTGCTCTTGCCTTCTGGCAGCTCTTCGCATGCGTGCACTAGGAACAGGCTCCTCCTGTTCCTCTGCCTCTCTGCTGTCCGCCTCTGGAGCAGGGGTGAAATGTAAAATTTGTTACTACCAGTTCTGTGGGCGTGGCTTGGTGTGTGTGTGTGTGGGTAATGTGACTGGGTGGGCGTGGCCAACTTTTTTTTTTTAACTTTACAAAGCATTTTTTCTACAACCTCTTCGGCCGAAGAGATTGCAGAAAAAAATGCTTTGAAAAGCCTCTCTGCCAATCAGGCAACACAGCTGGGCTCGTCAGAGGCTTTTCAAAGCATTTTTTTTACCACCTCTTCGGCCGAAGAGGTTGCAGGAAAAAATGCTTTGAAAAGCCTCTGACGATCCCAGCTGAGCCGTGCGATCATCAGAGG